GTTACATTAGCTCACAGTAAAAGTCTTATTTTAGATTCTGATTTGAGCTTAAACTCCACATTGATTTTTATCATAAAGACAGCCTTCTTCCATTTTAGGAATATAACCAAGACATAAGCCTCCATCACTCATGTATTCATTTTCAGTAGACTGGATTACTGCAGTGCTCTTTTTGCTGGACTTCCCAAAAACATTAACAGAAGGTTTCAGCAAAGTTCAGAGCTCATTAGTCCCGTTTTATCAGTCTGCTGCAGGATTTATTTAAAATACTGTTACCAGAAAGAAATCTAGCTTCAGGCACTTTACTGTAATTTAACAGCAATATTTGTTTTGCTGCAGGAATAATGGAATAATGACACTAAATGTGCCCCATGCATCACTAACAAATACAATATTTACTGTTACCGTGTTAATCTGGTGAAATTTACAGTGCTCAGCTATTTGGTTAATAATATTAAGCTAAAACCATATAATTCATTTTTTAAAAAAGTTCTACATCTTTAGTAGAAACCGCTGATATACAGTGAGACAGTCTTTTTTTGTCTTATCATTGGATTTGTAAAATGTTACAATAAAAAAAAAATTGTGCTTTAAAAAAATCATGTTTTAGAACAAAAACAAAATGACCTTTTTCATATAAAACCTTTTATTCTAAATATTCAAAAAAGTGGTCATGGTTTAATGTGACATACCATACATTAACACACTGGAAACATACAATGCGATATTGTTTTTAAAAACCAAACAAAGCCCCGGATAGGAAATTCATGATCAATAAACAACATTTAAAATAGCATGCAACACTTGATGATGTCATGTTTCAAAAAAAAAAGAAAAAAAAGATCACGTGTCCATAAAGCCTTCACATATATTCAACAAATAGAAATATATAAAAAAAATACAGTGAAAATTATTTGTGTTGTCCTTCCATCACAAATTGTAAAATTCTCATGCATCTTCCAAACCCAAGTTGTTATTATGACTATGATTGATACATGATTCTTGTTTACGACATTCTGATTCTGAATTAATGAGGGCTGGAGCTTTAAAAGGCCTTTCACAGCATACCCACATGAGCTATTGGAACACCTTTGCAAGCATTTATCGCTGCGTTAAATGATGCATGTGCTAACGTCTATAATGAGGCTCCTCTCAGCTGTCAACGATGGGTGGATACATTCACCATGCTCGAATCAGGATTCTGATGTGAGCTACAGACCTAATTAAAAACTGTCACCTCGGGAAAAGAGAAGGAAACGTAATGTGTGTGGGCGGAAACTTAATGAGCTTCTTCAAACCCGAACGCACACACTCAGTCGTGCAGTCGTTAATGGTCATACAAACCACCATGTGCATGTGGCCTTACGTGTCCTGACATGTTATATAATACTTCATTGACGGTCCTCCTTGACTTTCTGCAGCACTCACAGGCTGTTAATCACGTATCTGACAAGGGAAGCAGCAGCACAGTCTTTGCTTTGAGAAGCTACACTAAAGCTGGGATGGCTTTCCTCAGACTACTCAGCAATTATGTACTAATAGTCTTTCTCCCAGTGTATTGCAGTTCAGCACATGGTACAGGTAAGTGTTTACATGATATTGATTGCTTTTTAGAAACATAAAGAGAAGTAACAGTATTATTTGTTAAAGTTCCTTTCTATTTTCCTCAGTGATGCCCCTTTGATTTTATTACACATAATAGCGAATGGCTTTTATACACGAACACACACGACCAGACTCTGCTCAAACCAAGAAAACATGTCAGGGATTATGTTGTGCCCGCTAAACTGAGTCACACTTGGGGATTAATGTCACTTGGGAAGTAAAATTGAAGTAATGTCTTAGCCTGTAAAAATCTTAGAAAGGCAAAAATCAAACAAACAAAAATAAAAACATATTAAAACTATTTCTTACACCTTTAGGAGATGGGATGATATGCAGCAATAGTTATGATTTCTTTTTGTAAGAGCAGAATTACTTCAGATTTGATTTCTATACATACAAAAATGAAACATATTTCTGCATTTTTATTTATTTAAATGAACTGGAACATATTAGATACATAGAAAAACTGTACTGGCATAATCCTGAGGTCAGATTAAAAGGTCACTTTTGCTGACCATATCACAAACTACTTTTTTCCCCCAAAGTCGTCTAAATGAGTAATGAAATATCAAGCGAATATAAGCTGGAGTTAAGTTAGTTAAACGTTACAATTGGTAGTTCATGGACATACATATTTCACAACTAATCCTTATATAAGACCTTGTTTGGTTGGTTCAAGCTGTTTTAATTTACTTTTCCCTGAATTTCATCACTGTCTGTGTCTTGGCAAAGCAGCTATGGGAATATTAGATGAAGCCAAACTGTAAAGTGTGAAAGAACAACAAAGACCATATAAGGATGCAGGGGGAGGTGCTATAAATCACAAACCTATCAACCATGAAACTTCATTTGTGTCCCATTTGGGGCCTTTGTGCTCTCAGTTTAGCTTAGCATTCAATTTCCAGATTGTGGTTTTTGCTAAAACATCCTCATTTACATTACCACTGCATGTTAAATGGCATTCAAGGGTAACTGGTGTGCTTGAACTAAAGGGTTGACTGGCCTCACTACTGCCACAACTGGAGTGTCAAGACAAAGGACACTTTGGGTACCTCTAAGATGCCAACAGCTTTGACAAATTAGCAGTATTTAATGGCAGCAGAATGGAGGAAGGTTGATATGGCATAACAAATCATCTTATAAGACAAACTGCAAAACTGTAAATGGCACTATTAAATGAATGGGACAGTGCCAGCTGTTGCTGTTTAAATGCACTGAACAAAATCAGACAAGCAAGATGCACTATACACTAGGAGAGACAAAAATGGAAAATATCCCTTAAAAATTGATTAACTTTTATATTTTAATCATTTAAAAGAAGAAGTAGATTCATATTCCGAGTAATTATAAATGGAAGTGAGATATAGGCTGTGCCTGAATAACATTCCTGCCATTAGTATAAATTTTCATCATCACCAAACCTGTAAGTGAGCAGCATTTATTTAAATAATTTCTTCTTCTATATGATGCCCCTAGTATAGCTGTAAAGCCTTAATCGGGTCACTAATGTGACACACAGTAAATAAGGATTTCTGATTGTATACATTCACTAACAACAATACATAACAGACCTTATCTTTACGAATAGAGGAACTATTCCCCAACCAGCTCAATCACAGAGAGCGGTAAGGTGGAGATGTGCCTCACAGCTTCGGATATTTTACTACTACAGTACCTCAAATGCCAGAAGTTCATTTAAATCCAGTTTTCAAAACCCTGAAATGCTAGATTTTAGAAATATCTTATTCTTCTGTCAGGAAAGCAGGATCATAGCTTTGGTATACTCGAGTTAGAGGGTTTGATCAGAAAGCCTGGCACTGTGGTTAATGTAACTGTCGGCACATTAAGATGGTTAAAGAAAAAAAAACTAAGACAGTTGATAAAGCGGTGACCTTTTCTCAAATGTTACCTCAAGTAATCAAATATAACTCAAAATGCTTTCTCCTCCCTTGTCATGCAAACTCCCTCAAGTCAAAGAAAAAAAATGTCCACTTATTTTCCAAGACACATCCCAAACACATGATTATCACTGCTGTTCTCAAAAATAAGAAGTATGAGGGCTCGCACCAGCGCTGCTCAGTCTCTCACACACCGTCATCCTCAAAGGTTCAGTATACTTTTTAGTAAGGCACAAGTGGAATATTCCTCATAATGAGAAACTGAATGTCAGTCACAAAGGAACTAATATGTCAACATTCATCTCCATAGCGAGGGCAGACTGACCGGCAGATGCAAGGCATATAAATTCATGCTGTAACAAGCGTAATGCAAAAGAAAGAGGGACATTCCTTTGTGTTAGCACAGAGCTGCTGCCTTGTAGAGAACGTGTTCATTGTTGATGATGCAGTGTTTTTATCAGTGAGGATCCTCTCGATCTGATGCAGATTTCAGGGCCTCTGAAAAATTCAGCAGGAGCTTTGCACAGACACGTCTATTGCTTCCGAAGTTTGATGAATTTATTGGTCTTTGTTTGCAGGGGGTAGGAGGACAGGATGCCCAGTGTGTTGCTACCTCGGTACAGGGTTTTCATTTCCTTCCTCTGCTCAGGAGGAGTTTTCTTTTTTTCTTCAAGCTCATGCCTCCAATACAATCATTTGCTCCAGTCTGGAACAATTTTTTTCATTTTTTTTATTTTATTTGGCTCAGTCACTAGCACAGCAGTCAGTCAGTCACGTTGATGACATAAAGACTTCAGACTTCTTCTTTAACAGACTAAATCCAAACTGTGTGTTTTTATGTGTGAGGCTCACACACATGAAGGTACATGGCTTCATGACTGATTTATGCGATGGTTGGAACACAGTCTACTTAACAAATGTGTTTGGGTATGTCATCAGTGATGCTCTGTGAATGAACACAAAAGCATGTTTGTATCTGTAATCTCTGTCAGTGGCTAGATGTATTTTACACAGCTCCCCAAATCTTATTATTCACGCTGCTCCTCATTTAAGGTTTTCGATGATGGCGATCTCCTGTCGGTCGGCGTATTCTGGACTGAGGCCGTTTAGATAAAGGCTGCCGTTCCTCGCCAGGGCCCCCGGGACAGGACTGAGGGAAAGATTCACTGTGGGATAACCCTCTCTGTCCTCACAAAAGTTAGCTGACAGTGTCCTCTTGCCAGGGGTCATTTCCTGGTTGATGGACGCATTAATACCCAGCTCAGATGACAGCTTGCGCTTGATGGATGCAGCACGCTGAAACTTGTCATAAATGTCAACACTGAGTCGCCTGCGGGTCTCTTTGAACTCTGCTGACACATTTGCAGTCCATTCTGCTGCATGTGCACGAAACTCCCCAACCTGCAGAAAAAGAATGAAGATTGATGTTTGAAGGCGATCAAACACGTGATTCTAAGTTTCTCTATCTACACCTGGTGTTAGAAAAGTCTAGTTGCACTAAATGTCTCTGTTTACTTGTGTTTGGGTAACATGCGTGAATTATATCATTGCTGGTATTTTACAGTGATAAAATTATTATGATAGATTGTGCAGTTGCACTTGTTGGTAATTTGTGTGCAAGTTTTGGACAAAGAGCTGAAGCTGTCTTCGGGGTTGCCAGATTTGTGGGTTTCCCACAGATTTGGGCTACTTTTAACATAGCATTAAAAGTTGACAAAATTAAACACAAAGCGAACGTTTATTCAGGGTGATTGTAGAATCCAGAATCTGAAGGCCAATGAAAAAATGAAAGGTAGTTTAGTTCAATTCAATTTTATTTATTTACAAATCCCAGCAACAGTTACCCCCATGAGCAAGCACTTTGGCAACATGGGGAAGGAAAAACTCCCTTTTAACAGGAAGAAACCTCTGACAGAACCAGGCTCAGGGAGGGGTGGCCATGTGCCACGACTGGTTGGGGTGAAAGAAAGTTAAATCTGCTTAACTCAGAAACAGGCAGCAAACACAGGAATGGCAAAAGATGCTCTGCCAACAACTGAAGGGAAAGACTGGGCTTAAATATGTACACTGAGTTTATCAAGGGAAGTGGATACAGGAGGGTGACGAGACACAGCTGAACCTAATTTAAAAAACAGGGCAAGGAAGAAAAACTAAAAACAAGAAACAATCAGCTACCAAAATAAAACAAAAATAGCTAAAGGGGAGCAGAAACAAGTAGTTAAGGACACTGGGGAGGCTAGACTATGTAAAGCATTCAAAAATATACTCTAAACACTAAAAAAAAACCCAGACTACCAAGGTTGTCAAGACCAAACACAGCAGCAGTATAATAAAACAATAAAAAACTAAGAACCCTAAACAACCAGTCACAACTGAAACAGGACACTTAATAACCAAGAATACAAAGTTCCAAAACACAAAAACTTTCCAAAACTTAGGGTTCCAAAACACAGGACCATGAGAATAGCATATTGTTCAATATCCAAGTATTCAAATTCTGTTGACATAAATTTATTGTTGTCTTGAAGTTAAAATGATATGTTGCTTTTATAGGCTGTTAAAGATTCATAAAAGCTAAAATGTGTAAATTTAACTGACAGGAGGTTGCTAGACAACCGGATGAGATCATAATATCCGATATGGATAAGACTTTTTAGGGTCCCAAATGTGCCCATGTGCCAAATTTGGTCATAAATAAATAAATCAAATATCTACACATAAAATTCATATTAAATTTGTTAACTTCAGTAACCTACCAACATTACTCATCATGTACATACACTGCCGTACTAATATGGGGATCCCATTGCAGCATATTAGGCTGGTTTTGGTCTTCTTATTGCTGGTTGTAAGGGTGGTTTTGAGACACCGACATGGCAACCCCAAGGCTTCTCTATTTCTGGCACAGTTCTAAGCATCTACACTAGAGACACTTTTACTGCCATCCTCTGTCACACAGTCAGATTAAAATTTAATTCATGTGAAGAGACAAAGTAATTTTTTATAACTCTAATGTAGAACATGGAGTTGAAGCACTAAATCCAGGAAAAACAAAAAAACTTGGATGTGTTACATGAACATGGTTTATAAAATGTCATTTCTGTTAATCAGTGCAAACCCCTGTTTAATAGCTCTTATCCAGAGCATTCTTCCACAAAATATACCAGCACTCCAATTAACAAATGAGCACGACAGACCTTTTTAACATTCATTCATTATTTGCAATAAAAGTTAGCTACCAAAAAGGCCAACAGCAGATGTGGAACTTTATGAGAAGTGGGAAATGAATGAGAATAAAAACCTTTAAAGCATTAGTACATTTAGTCTCATTCTCTTGTGCTATCATTAACCTGAGGTTAGCGGACTTAAAAGGACTTAAAAGCAGGAAAATGTTTCCGAATTCAATGTGATTTTTAGAAATGGGTCTGTGTTGCGAGTTTTTTTTTTTTTTTGCTGCATTTGGCACATGATGTTGTACACACATTAGAGGTTGCAGACATTTTCCCAACCATTCATCACTGGCCTGTTGAGATTTTTTTCCCAAAGAATATTAATGCAGGAGCCTAAAGCAATGAATTAAAAATGAGTTTTTGTCATTGAGCTGTGTGTGACCTACTGAACAGGCCTCTGGCGGATATATACTGTATGTGCTTTGCACAGTATGCTTATTTATGGTTCCTGAATAGTGACAGGGAAGAGGGAGTTAGGCCAACACATCATTGATCCCACCTTCATTATGAATTAGACCCGTTTCTCCCGGCTGTTTTGTTTATTTATTAGGCTCTAAGGTACACTTGAATTGAAAATGATGGTGCACATTGGAGCACAAACACTGCACGCTTTCCCTGCTGTCTTTTCACTTTCGCTTCCCTTCCCCTAATCCATTCCCTCAGTCTCCCACTTTGTCTGTCAGTAATGCAATTCCCTGTGGAGCTCACAGCCTACACAGCTGTACTCCTAATTATGGCTGTGAAAGGATTTCCCACTATAGAGTGCTATATGCCCTTCAATGTGTGCATGAATGTGTGGCTTTTCCCATTCTTTCTACATATAAATAATGAACCTGCCACAGCAGCACAGTATCATATTTATCAGCACCAGCCACTGCAAACACACCAAAGATTTTGACCAAGTCCTGCACAAAATGGCATTTTTACATAACAGGGTGGGGCCAGGATGGAGATTGAGCATTTCACTTTCAACTGTGTGTGAGGAAAAAACTAAAAAAGTAGAGACAAATAGGATCATATTCAGTAACTGCAAAGAAACCCCTCCATTGACAAAGTTATATTTGTGGATAGTTAATCTGTAGCATCATTGTGAAACACTTTAACACATGTACAGTTGTTTGGTTGTAATTTGAAAGAAATGATTGAGAATTTTCTGAGACAAAGCGCTTGATCTAAAAGGCTGATTGGTGAGCCACAGCTGAACTCAGTGTCCTTCTATATTAGACAGTTACAACAACTCATTGCTTCAGTTTTACTTGACGCCTTCCACCCTTTGCACAGCGATTTTTAGTTTCTTCCGTCTGGGTGAAGTGTAAAACAACAAGGCTTAAAAACAGCTTTTTTTCCAGCTGCCATCTTTCAGATGAACAGATCATAGTTTTGCTTATATTGATTATTTATGCTTCATGATGTGGAAATTCTTTTATGATTATTTATTCAATTCATTAGGTTGGATTAGGCTTGTGTTTGTTTTAAAAGTGTGCAGGACTATTAACTGCATTATTACTGCAGACCAAATGTTTGTACTCACAGGTACAAAAAAAGTAACCTGAACCTTTCTGTCATTGGAAAAAAATGCATTAACTACAAATTTGTTGGCTTTGCTACTTAAAGAGTGAAAATTCACTGAATACTAACTTCTCAATATACTTTGTAGAGCAGGGGTGTCAAACATAAGGCCTGGGGGCCAGAATTTACCCAGCAAAGATTCCAATCCAGCCTGCTGGATGGCTTTGGAAAATGTTCCAAACTTTGTGGATACTTTGTGTGAAATAAAGGCCAAACAGCAATTAAAAAAAAAAAAAAAAGAAAATGAAATATGCTAATAGACCTCTCAGTAAGTGCCAACCACGAGCTTGGTTCCTCAAGCATGGGATGCTATTAGCATAAGACTCTAAGATAAATTTTGGGATTCGAGGGGCTGACAGAGTTCTTTCTTCAACTTCAGTTCAGATTCTGCATATCTGCATGCTTTATGTTGTCAGTAAAACCAACAAAAGAGCCAACTTAACAGCACTACTTGCCTCTTCTTTAGTTTTCTTGGAGATAACCCGAAACCAGTCTCCGATCATACTTAGCACTGCAGCAAAGTATGCCAAGCCCACCAAAATCCAGAAGAGCACCACGGGTTTATAGTAATCAAGGTATTCTGGTTTCTCGAACCCACCTGAAGAACAACAAACAAAACTGTGTTATAAAAGTCGGTCACATCGTTCTGGGATACTTACAGTGCTGTGCAAAAGTCTCGAGCCGCCTGTCATTTCTCATTTACATTTTGCTTGGAAAATGAGAAATAGCTGCAAATATTAATTTAAATATATGTGTGCCAATATTTACTACAAGATCCCCAACAGCACTGGCTGAAATCAGCCCCAAATCAGAGTTGCCACCACCATGTTTCACAGCTGGCGGTAGAAAAAAGCTTTAAACCTGAATTCAATTTCTTAAGTACATGACTTTTAGATACTTTTCATCTGCTGTAGATATTTTTTTAAGGCCTGACATTTCTTTGGTCCCCAACCTTTTAAAGCTTTTTTTTTTTTAGCTCATAGATTCTTGGGAATCATCTTGTTGGTGCAAATATGCTATTTTATGGATTTAAAAGTGTTAGATTTGACATCTGTTTTTGCAGCAGACTGCTAATAACAAAATGCCTAAAGATAAAATTTAAAATAGGTTCTTTCCCAAACTGGTTGTTCCCTTGAGTTAGGGGCCTTTTTGTTGAACGATTGAATGATTTGTAGGTCAGCCTTGAAAACAGTCAGGTACAGGGAATGGACAGAAAATGAGTGAAAAACCAAAGAAAAACTTTTAAGAAAGTCTCTTGAACACTTTCAAAAAAAGGTGTCTGGCTCCTTGGAAGAAATGAGTGGTAGCTAAAGACTTTTGCACAACGCTCTGCTTGACTTCACCCAAATCTATTTCTATGAATGACCCAGGAATAGGGGCTTTTATATAATGATTTTTCTATAATAGATCCATGTTGCATCAGTTCATGGGCTGGTTCTGGTTTTCTGTCATTGTGAACATATTACCTTAAGCCCATTTAAATGCCACCTCAGCCCCCATTATGGTCCTTACCTTTCAATGACTCCGTAAAATATCAGCAGGGATGAAGAGTCAGAGCCAGCCAGCTCAGTGTGCAGTTAGATAATCTCCCAATACAACAACATTTTAACTAACGGGAGTCCACATTGATTAGCTTAGTGTAGCTACTGGGGGTTGGCACAGGTGCCACAATCTAATCTATAATCATTAGGCCTGTTCAGGGAAGTTTAATCCAGCAGTCTAAGTGTTTGTGATTTGTCCCATCTGCCTCTCTCTTGTTATCTGCCAAGAAGGTCAAATCAAGCTAATACCAGCTGCTACACAAATACACACAAGCTACGAAAAATGCACAGTACACCCTCTTACTTTTTCTATCACAGACATACTATGTACAGTGTGTTTAGTTAATTGTTTATAATTATTCTTTTAGGGTGTTTACAGACTTGCGTCATGAAATAGTGTGACATTTCAAGAAATGCGGTACGCTTATTACATTTCGTGTGGTGAGTCATGATCAGTGCTCTTCTCGGGTGTATTTATGGAAGGAGAATGAATCTACTTCCAGCAGCTGTATAAAATTTGAAAATAAGCAGGAAGCAGGGTATATCTGAAGATAACAAAATGCCAACTGGTCCATCAGACACAGTGTGACACATTGTTTATTCTGCAAAAAAAAAAAACCCAACAACTGTAAAACAAGCTTGCTGTTTCACAAAGATTAAACAATATGGTAGAACAAAATGGGAATAATTATTGTGAAATGAGCCAATGTCCGAAGGAAAACTATTGTCCAAAACTAATGTAAAAAATTACTAGAAGGTCTGGCTCCTTAGAAACATAATCTGACCAGTGGCTCTGTTATGCTTGCTTGGATATAAAGTAATTCCCATCAACATCTTCAAAGCACCAAATGAAGACAACATTTGGGAGACTAATGTGATGTTCTGGTAGAGCTCCAGAGACTCACACAATCAGTGGCTATGAGCTTGGTGGTCTTTACAGTTAAATATGTTATCGGTGTTCATAAGAACTACTGTTAAGGTGCTTGTAAATTAAAGTGAGGCACAGAATATAATTGTAGTGCACTGGGAGGCTTATCACTGCTGCGCAGATCCTTTGAGTCAGGCTGGCCGATAAATCATTCAACTATAAATACACTGATTCTACATAAAAATGAAAGACAAAAGAAAAATTCAAGTGACCTTTTTCTCCAGCGACAAAGTCTCCAAAGCCGATGGTGGTGAGCGTGATGACGACAAAGTAGATGGACTCGAGAGTGCTCCAATCTTCGATGTGCTTGAAGATGACGGCTGGCAGGGCCACGAAGATGAGGCACCCGAACAGGATAAAGAGTAGCGTGGAGATGACGCGAATCTTTGTCTGGCTGACTTTCCACTTCTGTAGGGAGATTAGCTCACATGAAGAATACATGATGTGCACTTTCGGAGACTAAAACTTTAAATTCAATCTGTGGGAGCGAAAGGGAAGTGCTTAAAAGAATTAAAACAGCGCAGAAGCTTTACATGGAAACACTGCGGATGAATTTTATGAATAGTTACCATGTGCTTTGGTTTCTGATGTGCTAATAAAACAAGATGTTTGCTTTTCCTTACAGGTGCGGCCGCTGGCGATACATCGTGAATTTTTATTTGTATGCTATCCTTTTATTCCGATTCCGATCCAATTTTTTTCCTGCCTGTCCTGCCTTAGATATTGTCAATATGTATACTACATATAATGTAATAACTGAAAAAAACACCAACAACAACAACCCATGCTTTTATTTATTTATTTATTTGGATCTGAATATTGTAATGAGTCACTTTCTTTGACCTCTTCCTAGGAATAAATTGTATGTTTTCTAACATCTCAAGCTGTGAAGTTCATGCGACATCATTTCCACTCTCAGATGGAACGCCCACCCATGACTTGACATCCCTTGGAAATGCTCTAATAACAGATTTACTACATTTTTAGTAGCAGCTACTGTATGCTAATTGATACATTAGAGCCAGCACTTGCACTGCTTCAACAACAGCATGCACATTTCATTTCTTCATTATCCCCAGAGTTCGTCTTTTGCTTGAGTTACTGTGCATTATATTCTGCACGCTGTCCTTTTTTGTGCTGCCCTTGCACTCATGGTGACTGCTTTCAGCTGGGTCTCTTGGTATCATGCCCTTTTCCTCTGCAGTTATGTAAGACCAAAGCACAGCACCTCAGAGGTAAAGTATAAAGAGCAGACAGCCCTCAGATCACTCTGTCTGTGATGTCTTATGTCCGCATCGCTCTCAAAAAAGCATAGTACAACAATGCACAGTTGAAAGGTAATCTACAGTGAATGTTATAGAAACAAATTAAAACTGCATCACTGTATTTCCATGGGGACCAGTGAAGCTGATGGTTTTCAGCACCTTCACTGCACGGCAGTGAGTTCAGCAGGTGGCAGTCCATCTTTTTCCATTGTCTCCATGACCTTCCAATCTGTCTTTTCCTCCCCGGGGAGGGACAGAGCCAGCTATACATCAAAATCAGTACCCTGACAAAATGCTTTTGTCAGTGCTTTTATACTGAAACAGGAGACTCTTAAACTACTTTTTGAGGGGACGTATGATTTCAGCTGACTTTTACGGAAGATAAACAAAGTACATCAGGAAATGAAAAACATCTGATAATTAGGCCCTCATCTTTTTTTGTCTTTCTTCTAGGAATCTACCAGATGCTACACTCTTCAAGGTAATAAAAGTCAGTGCCTATCTACCTTATCAACAGATTTGTATTCATTTTTAATCTAAATTCGCAATAAATTTCACTTTTTACAACTTTATTCATGTATAATGTCACTGATGGATAGAGAACATATCTTACCACGATCATCTTCTCTACTTTGGCAATGCCCTTCCCAAAAATAGTTCCCAACTGGTCCCCGACACCAGCCAATAAGAATCCAAATAGGGGAATCCCCAGCAGGGCATAGATTATACAGAAGATCCGCCCACCTTCTGTGTGAGGAGAGATGTTCCCAAATCCTGAGAGAAATGACACACACACAGTGAATGTTGAGTGGATCTTGACAGTTTCAGTGATGTTATGTTTCCAAATTATTCTATCCTCTGGAGCAGAACATAGTTTTAATGTACAATTTGCATACTTTCTAACATAAAAATTAAAGGCGATTGTTGATTCATAGTTGAACCTGTTTTATTTTTCTCTGAGCTTTCATTCATGAAATTGCACATTTTTAAAAATCATATTGCTCTCTACTTTTGCTATATCACGCTTGTCAGTTTAAATCATGAAAAATCGTGTGAACGAGTGTTTGGTTTTTCTTCTGTAATGAAAAGGAACATGAAGAGTGAAGGATCCAAATGCAGAAAACAGACATTGGTTAGATTAAACAGAAGGCACTGTTTATTTAGATTAAAAACTCAGATTTAAGTCCTAAACAGAAGATGAGCAAAGTCCAAAATCCAAACCCAAAACCCCGAGGCTCAGAGAAATATGCAAGCAAATGAGCAGAGAAGCAGTACTACACGACAAGCAACGCAACCAAATCGTTGCCTGGTCACTGGCTGGATCCCTCCTTATGTGGGGATGGTCTCCCCCCCCCCAACCAGCCACCTTGATGTGTAAGGTGGGCTGACCCATGTTAGAATGTCCGGTCTGTGCCTCCAGGGCTCGTGGGTGCCTGTAGGCCAATTGGGTGGGTTAGGGCATCTTGTCTCAGGGAGCTTGTCCAGACCATTTTGTCTCATCCCTATTGTGACGCAATGTGCAGATGAGCTCCAAGCCTCAGGACTCATCTGCACACTCCAGTCTACTCTTTGTGGTGGTGGTGCTGGGTGCTGCCCTAGACATGGCGGTGTTCAGGACCGTTGTCATTGTCATTGTGTGCCTGACGTCTGACTTCTTACCGCCTTCTGGCAGGGTGTTGGGAATGGGGCTGCCTACTGAACCAGTCTTTGCTGGTTCTCTCTTTTCTTACTTGGTCTTCCATGTCCCAGCTCCATACATCACATCACTCATTCCCTTAGGGTCTTGGGGAGAGGGGTGAATCATATAGTTCAGTGGTCCCCAACCCTTTTTGCACCACGGACTGACCTTTAAGGTGTCGCTGATAATTACAACAAAATAAAACCAGTAACGGTACCACAAAAAGAAGATTTATTCAGAACAAACGGGAAAAGACCCATGGAAACCTAGTTAACAATAAAACGATCAAAAAAATAACAATAAAAACCGATAAAACCCTGAAAACCATAAATGTCACACCCAAGCCTCAACTCTCGCGGCCTGGTACCAAACGACGTACCAGTCCGTGGCCCGGGGGTTGCGGATGGCTGATGTAGTTCACCCCAACCCCCCTTTTGAGTAGTAACTCTAATAATTATGGTTCACGACATATAACCACACACATAGGCCATGGGGGGCAGTGCAGTACCCAGAGGCTGTTTCGTGGGGCTGCTGCAGTGGCCCTATTCACCCCTTCACTGACCCTAGACATTGAGGGTCTTTGCAGTACCAGTTTACCACTGGTTCGGGGCAGCATTTGCTCACCAGGTTCTTGAGTGCCTGGAAACCTGGGACCCTATTCTTGAATTGTACCAGAGTGACAGGCCTCTATCAGGGTTGATTCCCTTTTGTCTTTGGTCCTCTGGGACTCTGGTTCCATCTCTGCCTGCCTTTGGGCATGCTCTCTCTGTCTCACACTCATACTACAAGAAGATTGCTGATTTATGTATCTGTGTATTTTATAATCGTTGTGTTGCACGTGCTGTATGTCTGTTCTTTTTTTATACAAGAGCTGTAGTTGGCGATACATTGTGCTTTTTTTCCTGTCTGTCCTGCCTTAGACATTGTTATACTGTACCACATATATTGCAATTACTGAAATAACACAAATAGAAATGGATAAATAAGCAGAGAAAATATTCACGTGAAAAAAAAACAGAATTTCAGAACTTCATTCATTACAGGCTGCAACAAAACAAAACCTGCCAGACAAGAAAATTTTCACGAAGTCTGACTGTGCTATGATATGATTGCTGAGAGGCACAAAAGAATAGCTGTGAGAAATTTCAGTAGAAGCTGCGTAACGTCTCTGACTCGGAAAAAAGCTTATTATTCGCACCCTCTATTCTCAGCCAACTCTAACATGAATGAAAAATGGGGGGAAAATGAAGCGATGAACATTGAGCTGTACCTCTGAAACCTGAGAAACAAAAATATGAGTCTATTACAGGTTTAACGCCTTTGTTTTAATCCCCAAACCCATATTTAGCTGCAGCTAGAAAATCAGTCAAGATCGTGTTTAAAAACAAGATCTGTGCCTCTCGTACTCCTGACCCCACACACCCAACAAAATGCAATATCAATTTCATTATTTAACGTTTAATAAAGCATCTGCATAATGAACTACATCCACTTTTCTTCATTAATGTAGTCATCTGTCTCAGGAAATGAGCTGCAGGGTGTCTTCTAACAACTTTCCATGATCACATTGGAGCAGGGTGACACCTAATGTGAGAACAATTGTCAATCATGGCTCAGTAATTTTAAGATCAGTACAATGGGAGACAGGATGTCGGATTAGGTTTTTTAACCTGCGGGTGACATTGCAAAACAAATGAGAAGCAGGAGCTCTCTAATTTGAACCTGTACTTAATTCATTTCTTCCTGAATTAATTCTAGTTTATATTCTAAGCTCATCTTTTGTTTTATTTCAATAGCAGACATAAAAGCTTAGTACGGTAAGGGTATTAGTCACATGTGGCAGAAGACATCTGTGGTATTCATTCATCTGTCTATTCATTAAGCGATGTTGTTACCTCGTTATGCATAAATAATCAAATAATAAATAGTTAATAGGAGTGTCATGATGACTACATATTGATTAAAATCATGACAGATATAAATAAAAAAATGTTTCTTTTTAGTTTTGTCATTGAAACGTGCAAACATACATGGAAATACAGTATAAGTATAGAGTATGAGGCAAAAACAGAGCTTATACAATTCTAACACCTTAAGAGTCAATATTTGGTATGACCACCTTTATCCTTCAACACAACTAGAACTCTCTCAGGTAAGCTTTTGCATTTTTTCTTTAAGTAATCTTCAGGAATAGTTCTTATTTTTAAAAAAAGCATTCAAAGCTAGTTTTGGATGCCCTTTGATTCATTCTCTAGCAAGATTATCCCACACTACTTCAGTAATGCTGAGTTTGGGGCTTTGGGGAGGCCAATCCATGACTGATCATGTCCATTGTATGTTTTTCTAACCAGATATGCTTTTACTGCACTGGCAGGAAAGCTGAAAAACTCAGATGAATCTAATCAGGCGACTTCCATATGGATCAAAATCTGACAGTGTTGTTAATTCCATCAGTTTTGATCTCCAAGAGCTCCAAAACCACTGACTGAGCTCCAAACCATGACAGCACCTCCACCATGTGTTTAAGATGGCTGTACACACACTCATTGGTGTGCCTCTCTCCTGACCACCTCTGTGGATAGTGACAATGATTTGAAACAAAAGTTTTACTCGTTGCCACTTATTTTCAATCTAGCTCTAGTAATTTGGCAAACCTGTTTCCACTGAAACCATTTCTCACGAGGTTTCCCCGAACAGGTCCTATGTTAGGTCTTTGTTGGATTTTTATTTTTCCTGATTTTTAAAGGACATGATTTTCAGATACTGTCCACCTGTAGATATTTTTTTAGTCCTAGCACTTCTTCTTCTGTCCTCCACTTGTCCGGCTACCTCAAAAATTTAAGGCTACACCATGCTGAGACATGCCAAGTGTTCAGCTCATTGCTCTTTGCTAATCACTATTCTGTGGTTGTCGCATACAAGTACTGGATTGAAATTGACCACTCAAGACCACTTTGAAATTTTTTTTAAGTCTGGGTCCTTGGAAGCAAAATATAATGACATAATGACTGGCTTCACACTTTTATGCAGATATCAGCATGTTATTGTTAATATACTGATTTACTGTGTGACTGTAACTGTGATGTGGTAGTCTGATAGTGTGACAGCCCTGGGCAAAATCAGCCAATTTTAAACCATCACACATTTTCTTAAAAATATTTAAAAACATAAGAAGTCATGCATTTAAAATACATTATCTGCCTTCTGCTCTACCGAGATGCTGTTTTCCTACAGGACTTGCAATATATCAGACTTCAAAAACCATGAAAGGTATTCTTGAGTTAGTTTCAGAGCATTGCCTCATGAACAGTACATTAACCTTAAGATTTTAGAAGGAGGAGCCCTGGATCGCCTCTTTCCCGACACAGTTGAGTGGATTATGTGATGATTGCATATAGTAACACGTCAGGTCTTGTTCAAGCTCTCGTAGGAGCGATGACAATTGCAGTGGACAGTAAAAGCTTAATGACTTCCTTCTAAACTCATTAAGTGACACAGGGAGAGAAAACCAGCTGCACAACATTTAACAGAGTGACTTCATTAGCTACAAAAAGACACAGGCTCCGGGTTTGGTTGCTCTTTCTCTTTCCTTGAATCAGATGTTGGTACAGTGGGTTTGAGGTGGTATCAAAAATATATAAAAATATACCTTTTTATGGAAAACCATTGCACAACGTGTCGCAACATGTTCTTGTAAAAACAAACTTCCAACAGAGTCCAAAAGGAGCAAAGTTGTATGAGAGAATAATAAAAAAAATTCTACAGTCTATAAATAATGAATCATTTGAGATCTGTTGGTGTAAATACAGTAGAAATGTGAATTTCCGAGTATACCAGTCTTAACAAAGAAATCCCATGGGGGAGAAGTGCTGTGAGATCAATGATTACTGCTCTTTTGCTCCCAGGAGAGGGTAGGAAGGAGCCAGGAGAGGCAACCGAACCCACAAAGTTATTCCAGTTCATTTCCTCGATAAAGGGCAACGATGAAGGGGGGTATGCTATGTTTCAATAATGGGCATCCAATTAAAGATCACATAAACAAATGAGTATGTGTGTATGAAATGTAATGTTTGATATGGCTTCAGAAATGTTTTCCTATCTGGACTCTTAATAGATTCTTTACAGGCTGTGCGCTGACAAGAAATGACATAATGGCTTCTCTAAAGCAAGATGTCTTTGCATAGCAGCACAAAGGCCACAGAACATTTTGTTCCAGTAAGGCAAAATTAAAATGATTGCCAACAGAGAGAGCAGCAATTATATGTTGTTTGCACGAACAACCATCAGAGATGCTACAAACAAAATCACCACCCGGGATCGAGACTTTTGTGGCAAAATCTAATTTCAAGCACAGTTTACTACCAAAAAAGATTTCAATTCTTAATTTCAGACAGTTTTGGATGCTTCATGCTTTTTTAATTAGTTTTTAAACTAAAGCAGAGCTCTTTCACTTCTCTGCATCACTTACTGCACTCACATTGCATAGAAAATCTAGTAAACCTGCTTGTACTGAGAAAACTCGACATCTGTAAATCACTGGAGCACAGGAGTATAAAAGAGAGAGTCAACATACTCAGTCTCAGGTGAGCAGACGAAAAACCCACAGTGCAGTTTTTGCTTTTTCGCAATAAATTCGAGGGGAAGCATATTTTAAAGCCAGAAGGCAAAATCCATTTATGGTAATGCAATGCATTAGCAACATTTTATCACAAGGATGAGCTGTGACAGAATCCAGGAAATATGAAATGAAGCTCAACAGCCCACCACACAGATATGTTATACCCATCGTGTGTGTGTGTGGAGGGGAATTTTTCATGAGCGGAACTGCAAGCACAAGCCTGGCGCAGTGCACCAAAATCTAGAAATCTGGAAAGAGGTTGCAGGAGAAGTCTTAGTGTTAGCAAGCAAAGTCTGACGCTAAAATATTTATCAAGATCACACTTAGGGTGTTTTTAAAGGAGGGTATGCTCCGAAAAGGTGCAACAGATGTGAAATGGAGCCCAACAGCCCACTGAACAGACACGGCGAACTGTCATGGTCCAATTGGAAGAGCCAGATGAGCTGTCAAACCGGTTGTGTGGGTGTTTGTGTGCGTGCCATTCCCTTTTTCTGATTAGCAAGCTCTTACAGCTGGAGGTGACAGAGAGAGAGCAAATGGTGTAAATGATGGAAAAAAGGGAAGTGTGTTTGAGTTTCAGGCTGTTGTTTTGCTCGTACGAAGCCAAATCACATTACTACATATTTAAGCTGGACATTTAAGTTCTGTTATGTATAAAGAGCACAGTAGCTAACATTGAGGGCACAATTTGCAAATGAGGTACAAAATTATTTACTGGGATAATCTCAAGTGAGAGGCTGCTATACCAAACTGGATCAGGACAAGTATTCAACTAAAACAACTATTTAAGGCCTGTTCAGGCACTGGCTCACACTTTTTGGAAGTGGGACTGAAGTGTATCCACTTGTATCCAAAATGCTTCCACATTGTTCTTACAATTATTTGCATTTCCATTTTATTTCACAACCGAATGAGAAATTTCTCTGCTTACCGATGGTGGTGATAACAGTCCCAGCGAAGAAAAAGGAGGAACTCATGTCCCAGAGGCTCGTCTGATTGGATGAATTTCCTGAAGGGTTCACACCTTCTCGAATTGCTATAACCACTTGCTGCAGAAGAAAGAAGAAAAAAAAAAACAGCCTTAGCATGAAATAAATAATACAGTAAATATGTGCCGCTATTTTCCATGCCAAAGTTTACATGTCACAAGCAAAAGATGTGGAATGACCTGCGCACAAGTTCATGATGTTTTGAAAAATCGCTTTTACATTTTTTTCTATACATCAAAATGAAGTTTATGTGTAAGTTGAATAATAATGTAATCGTCTGCCTTCTTTCCTGGACGTTCGGCTACTAGTCTGTTCTTTACATCACTACCAGTTTCCCACGCTGTCTGAGTCAGTACTGACTGACATTACAGTCCTATCATCTTCTTGCCTGCCTCCTTTGAGCCAATCTGCCTCCATTCTGTGTTGTTAAATCTGAGTACTCTGTCATTCTCTCTATCAGAGTCTCATTCGTGCAGCTCATCTCCTCCCCATCCCCACCACACCCAACAGAGCTCTATCCACCAAGCCTCAATCTACAGCTTCACCACCATCTAGGGATCCTGTCCTAAATCAATGCTGGGATTCTGCTCTGCCATGAAGGGTCATCAGAGTTTAATCGGCAAATACATTATTTAATTTTACTCTCTCAACAAATCATGTTCAGTTCTTCTAAATGATCTCTCCTTATTGAAATTCTCATGCAACATGTAGACTTGCTTCTTTTCTCACCTATTTGCATAGAGTCTGCTCAGTCTATACTTAACACTGGGCATTTGATTACAGTGAGTTCACCCTGCTGGCAAACTGCATACTGGATAAATAAAGCCAGACGCAGACAGCTGTGGCATTATCGCCTTTCTTTATGATAGATTATGCCTTGGAAAGCTAATGCATTAAAATGTCTGATGTGTTCCAGAAGGAGGGAAAAATTTAATTCAGGGAGATTGCAGAATTCAGCTACCGTGATAGATGTCCACCTAAGACACCATAATACGGCCTAATAAGTGACTGGTCTCCTGATGCCTATTCATAGCTTGGCATCAAGAATACTTTTAAGTGGTATTTAAAAAAAAAAAATGAAGTGCCAAAAGTGCCAGAAATGTTATTTCTTTCAGTGGCAACTTCAAAAGCAAATCAATCTGCATATGTTACTTTTATAATAAAATGACTTTACTGCAGTAAAATGTTTACAGACTGGTACAAAAATGGTTTTGCCCTCTATTGATAGTTTCGCCAACTGCAGGAAATATCGGACTCCAACTTTCCACAGTGACAATGAGTTTAAGACCAGTGTGTGATGTCACATCCAGTTTTATAACAGTTTATGAAAACAGCTTGTTAAAATGTGTTCATCTTCTTTGTCAGCATGTTAAATATCTATTTTTAGCCATAAAATGATCTTTTCCTAAACCTAACAAATAAATCTATTTGTATAAACGTGTGTAATTCACAGACACACACCAGCTAAGAGTTCGATTTCTCCTTTTATCCTGCTGATTTATGTAATTAATAAAATACATGCTAAGTGCATTAAACTGTACGTCTCCTGTCTTTATCAGGTTAATTTCAACCATCCTAAAATTGGACTGAAATATTTTTTCACGATGAAGCATGAAAATAGGACGCCGCTGCACACAACCACCAAACAGGTGGTCCTCTGATAACATCAAACAGAAAACAGGCAACCGGGTTTGAGAAGAAAAAAATGTCAGCACTTACAAAAGTGAAAATAGCATAAATACCATGCTGAAGTAGTTTTTAGCATGAAACATGAAAACAGGATGACACTGCCCAAAACCACCAAATGGGTGGTCCTCTGGTTCCATCAAACAGAAAACAGGCAATGAGGTTTTAGAAAAAAATCAGCACACAAACAAGGTGGAAATGGTCATTTCCAAAGGAAGCATTAAAACTTGAACTTAAAAATTTACTTCCAAATAGAATGCAACAAGCCTAATAATTCCAAACCACATCCCAAAACTTCAGAGCCCCTGCTTATGCAATACGTCTTATCCGTGATCAACTTTGGGGGTCATCATTTTGCCCCTTCCAAAATGACAGCTGACAGCTCCTGACTCCACCTCTATAGTTCTATCTGTCTTTATATATCCATAAATGTTTCTGCTCAACTCAGCCATCAACCAGATCACTCTGTGATCAAACAAGACCTGATGTTCACTTCAAGGGACAGAAGCAGAACATAAAAAGTTAAAAAATTACAATTTTGAAAAAGAACATTTTGTCTTCTGGATCTTAGGAGGTTAAAGTGTGTTAATGGAATATAATAACAATACTACAACAGTACTGTACAATAGCACACAACAGTCTGTGTCTGTGATCTTCCTGCTCTTCCTGCTACCTGTTTCTAACTGTTTTTCTTTTCTTTTTTGGGGGGAGTTGACTAGTTCAACTGACCTACTTAACCTATATCGATCTCTAATCTAATGTATAACCTGCACAGATACTACAGTATGTAGGTAAAGCTGTAAAGCTGAGAGTTGCCCAGGTAACCACTGGTCGCTAGAGAAAAATGTGTATGTGAATAAAATGTTTGAATTCCTTGTTATGAATATTATGAAATTTTCCTTGTTTAGTCTACTAATTTTTTCCTCCTCGTGGACTGCACAAAAAGTTACCCAAGGACACACTCTGAGAACTCTGATTTTAGATCTAAGGTGTAATAAGAGAGAAAAAGGGCACAATTAAAAAATCAGTCTACCGCATACAGCACCATGGAAACTGTCACAGATTCATCATGACGCATTCATTTGGATTACTGATGTTTCAGATCCATGGACAGAGATTCCAGCTTGAGTAAACCTGAGCCAAATAAGACATCGATGAGTACGGCAGACTCAGCTAATATAATTAATCAAACAAACCCCGGCCTCTCTCTGCTACTAGGAGATGGAGAGGAAGGATCGTATTGGCTGTTTGGTATCAAGGATTACAGCATCAAGATAAAACAGGAAAGATAAAAGATCAAGACTAGTGAACTGTCATTTCCTCTGAATGCTGGATTAACTTGATCCCACCAGGTTTAAAAAAAAAAAGAGAGAGAGACTCAGGTCAACAGGGGAACAGTTTAATTTACTGCAGTAAGAAAAAAGCATTTTTGGCCCAAGTGGCAACTAAAGAGACTCGCTAGAATTATTACTGAGACAAAATGAAAGAGAAACACTTTGAAACGACAGGGGAGCAGAGACTCTACTACAGATCTGATGCCATTAACTTGCAGAGGAATACTTCGCTGGACTAAAGCTTTTACTCCCCTGTGATTATGCATTCTGTTCAGTTTGAGGCCAAGAAAAAAGATCTAAAAAGGATCTAATTCTTCAGTGGTTTTTCTTTTAATAAATGTAAGAATTGAACCAAAAAGAGTTAGAATTTTTTAATTATTTCCATCAGCTGGATTTAATATGAATAGACCTCTCAGGTTTGGAGTTACGTTGCTATAATATAGTAAGTGTACAAGACACCGTATGTTGCTCATCAGTCACTAGAACGAGCTCAAATGACAACAATTAGGAAAAGCACAAAAGCATAGAATTAATTGATTTACAGTTTTCTCCACTCATTAGCTGCTATAATAGAGTTGGTAGAGCCCACTGGAGGACAGCTGTATTATGAGACTTAATACATGTACCAAGATTAGCTTTTATTATGTTTTTGTCTAAACCTCATAATTCCCAAATAAACCGAAGGAGGAGGAGGAGGTCAAAGTTAATTCCACTACATTCACAGTGGCTTTAAAAACACAATTTAGCAAATCATTAGATCAGAAAGCCCTGGCTCAGTCAGCCCCCTTTTGTGTCCCAGCCAAGTGAGCTTACTAATTCACCGCTTTGGCACTCAGCTATATGCAAACTAATAAAAGATAAGAAAGGATGACGTGAAGACCGCAGTGGACGTCTCAAAGCTGAGGCAAATAGACCGGAGAGAAAGAGTTGGAGCTTTTAACATCACTCACTTTTTTTAATTACTCCCTTTGAGAGCACATCTCTCCTCAATCCTCTGCTGAGTAGTGTTTTATCAGCAGGAACCTGCAAAGGTGTGTGTGTTTGTATACATCATTAAGTAAAAGTGTGTGTGTGTGAGGGAGGGGGAGGGGGGACCTCAGTTGAAGCTGCCTATCAATAAATGATCAGAAGAGTAATAGTTGCTTGAAAGGCTGGTGTACTCACTGCAGCTACTCTGCCCACCTCTGCCCGAGACTAGAGTTTGGCTGGACTCTAGTCTCGTGAAAACACAATAAAAGATTTATATCAACACTGCTATCTGCCTTACAATTAGCCTCAAAATACCAAACATTAAAGTGATTCTAAATGCTTCCAGAGACAACTCGCCCTGGATTTTTAGGTTAAGTTCATGAGCAAGTAATTAGTTCCAATTTGCTCCAGAAGTCCAGGAAACCCATAGAGCTCAGATGCATCTAAAGACAGAGGACAGTCTGCAGAAAAAGGGACACGCAGGACAAGAGACATACTTGTATAGCAAAAAACATCCTCATCCTGTTTATCAGTTTTACAGCTGATGGTCTGTCAAAAGAACTCCTACTTTGTTACAGACTGATCCAATCTCAGTGCATATTGTCAAAAAAAGTTGCTTTTTGTCATGTAAGTTGTTACGTGGGTTCCTACTTTTAGATGACGATGATGCAGAATCAACTGTTGCTACTGCTGGCTTTCCATATGTTTTCCTGATGATGTGCTTTTAAGTATGTCTTAACCGTAAAAAAGCTTCACTGTATAGTCGTAGCCCTATTGTTGGACGTCATGTAACAGGTAGTGGGACTGAAAGAGAGAGCTGGAAGGATGATTTCCATTGTCCAGAGCCTCAGGTTTCACTCTAACAATGTGAAAGACGGATGATCTCGGCTCTGAAAGCACCACCATCACCATTAAACATTAACTCGGCAATTTAAAGATAAATAACCGCCATCTGTTACAACTGTGGCCACGACACATTTTTCAATACAGGCAGTAACAAATCCTTTCAGCGTGAAATTGGTTTTAATTATGTTAGAGCACACATGTACTATAAACAGCGTATGCCAATACTTTTATTACTTTAATGCCACAAAAGGTAAATACGCATTAAGTACACTTTGAAGCCCTTTAAAGTATTAAACAATAAAACCCAGAGTGATATGAAAAGTAATCTTGTTAAATTGTGAAAGTTTTCTCCTGTTCTCATGTTATGAATGAGAAGACCTGCTTGTTAAATCAAGAGGGGTCTTTTCAGTACGAGGTGAAATCCATATCAGAGCGTGCACCAATGATTCAAGCGCTGCTGTTCTATAATTGAGTAACTAAAAACAAACATTAAAACAGCTTTTGGTTTGCAGGCTATAGTGTACGATGGGCTTTCACTTGAAGTGTTTGCTTAGAATTTTTTATTATTTTAAAAATGTTTGCTCCACTCACAATGAAATCATCCTTGCCATTAAACTGTATGTTTATGCCAGTAGCTTAATTTGACTTGTGACACGATGATTTGGTTAAAGCAAACAGACAAAAAATAAATAAAATGAATACTATGAAAAGAAATCATAGATTGGAAATTGTATAATAAACTTGCTTTATGTTCTCTGTAGACCTTCATTACTTTGCTGGCTCATTACTTGTTTGCATTTGGTCATTGTTGCAATGTTTTAGGGCATCCTACCATACTATGTGAAAAAAATACATATATTGCTTTTTGATATGTTACCTTTTTAATTTTTCATGTTACTACATAACGTTGGTCTTGCACATTTTGATAGTTGAAGGTGTTTTTCTTGGCTCCAAGTGGCAGACTCTTAATGAGAAATTGCAGCTAGCGGCCAAATTTAGAAAAGGTAGAAAATCATTTTTCCCTTGAGATTTAAGACCTTTCAGCTTTGGCACATTAGAAAAGTAATCATCATCCACAAGTGCAATGCTCCAACAAGATTCCCCAAGAGGAAATGCTTTTAATCAACCCTGACAAGTTTGCCTGCTAGATAAACTAATCCATAGAGAAACAGTCGTGACTTCACGAGTTAAACGGCTGCACCGTCAATATATCTTTTTTTTAGTGCATTTTTATTTTTAGTGACTGATGTGCAGTTACAAGTTGACGGATTGGATTCATTTAGTGAGATTTACTAGTTCAACTTGAGACTTCATGGCTTGATTTGTAGTTACATCTTTGACTTTCTTTTCAGCAAACATTGAATACCCAAAGGGCAAACATAACACAAACCTGAGGACCCAGATGGGTAATTTGGTGGTATTGTGCTTTATTTTGCTGCAATTCATAGTTTATATTCGTTTTCTGTATATTTTATTTTGCAGAGCAGTTCAAAATGGTTAGATTTACATCAGCACTAGCATTCAAGATTTGGGGTGATTAAACAGTAGATGGGCTGTTGAGCCCTTTTGTTCATCCCATGCTAATTTGTAATAGCTTTAATAGAAATGTCAAAATTAGCATCAGCCTCCAGCAATGATGGGTTCCATGTCATTTAGTTTACAGCTCAAAAAACATTTAAACGTGCCTCTTCTAAGGTACTCCCGCGCTTAGTCTCAGCCTCAAGTAGTAATTTTCCGGTGCTTGGCATATGGTGAGCTCAAGAAAATAAAAAGTTCCCTGCATGGTTCGATTCTGTTGCTTCAAATGAAACTGCAGATAAAAAGTAAGTAAAGATATGCTGTGATATGGAATTCCCTAGAATGAAACTTTGTTTTAAAGTTCCATTTAGCAAAACAGATGCATTTCATGATTTGTAACCCTGTATCAATTGTCTAAGGCTTCTAAAACCCTCACAAATCACTGTTGAAAAATGCATTTCATGGATAAGAAAAGGTACAAAAGAACCCCAAATTTGCTTATCTTTAAAGAATGGTATTATTTAGCTTTAAAACAAAGACATTATGACAGAGACACATGGCAGTCAGAGAGTCCTGCATTGGAACAAAGATGGTGATGGATATAACAAGAGATTCAAACTCTTCTGAGATTCTTAGCTGTAACTATGGTATGAATGTCAAAATCCTACGTCGCCTTGTTCTTGAGTTATCACATTTGCAAACTTGGGTGTTGACACCCCCTGGTCGTTCCCCGGCAGGGTGACGACAATACTCCATCAGACTTTTACAGCTGTGGGGTAAAAACTATTTACAGTTATTATACTTTTCTGCAAGGCATAATGTTAGAGGCAGGGTAGGGTTTCAGGGGTGCTTAAACAACATTAAGCTGCCAGGTACAAACTGCACAGTGCTCAGTGTTCTCCCTGAGTTTTAAAAATCTGCAGACAAATTTTGTGTTTTGCTACACATGAAGACCTGCACAACAGAATAAATTAGGATTATTATTATGGCACTAAAGCTTCCACCTACCCGGACCAGCTCTTCCAACTCCGAGGAGTTTACACAAGCATGCGCAACCAAGAAGTCCAGCTTTTGAGTTAGAATGGCCAGTTTCTGGGAGCTCTCGTGAGGCTGTTCAAGCGCTCTGAACACTGTTGCCCCAATGATAAGGTACAACACCACCAGGAAAAAGATAGCTGATACGGTCTTCCACCTCATGACCGTAGTCCGAGTGTCGCACTCGTCCTCTGGGGTGTTCAGCACCACTGGTTTGGTTGAAAACGACAGGCGAGGCTTGGAGTTGTGGGCGGCAGCCTTTGGGTCAAGAAGGTCAGGTGCAGCCACTGCAAGGACACAAATGATTTACGTGGATCAGTGTCTTTACATGTTTCCTCATTTATCACATCATTCACCTTTCCTATGATTAGACTTGGTTGTGCTATTTTTTATCACAGACATAAACAGGAAACAATATGCGCCATATGAGATTTGCATAATATAATATAATAGGGTTGCGACTAACTATTTCTCATGGTTACCATCCAGACAGTACAGTATCATAATATGTTTTATTCATTCCAACTAAACAGGGCTAAATGTAATAATAAACCTTTAACAAATGTGTCAAACAAAAAAGGAGCTCTCACTGAAGAAGCTTGGACCGAAGGAGCTGTGATATTTCTGCCTAAAAAGATGGTTTAGTCAACAAAATAATTGCCAGTTATTGATTCTGTCATTTAACTAACTGTTTAAATTACTGTTTGCTTCTTCATCACATAAAGGAAAAAGTTTGTGAGATAATTAGAAATCTTACCACCCTTTAAACTCATAAAATGTTCCAGGACTGGCTGTCCCTGAACACTATTGCAGACTGTTATTTATAACTGCTTTTGTTAATTATCTGTCTTTAAAATGTAAACGAGTACAAATGATTTTCAGTTTCATATTTTTAAATACCTGACACTTCAAAACATTGTTGTTTAAATGGTTTACAGGCATTTCTGACTCATAAATTTACTTCAAAGAGCTGCTTTCAACTTCAAACTCAACCACAACCCATACTCTGTTTAAACTGCCTATTGTGGATCAAATATATATCCTAAAAGGCATAAAACCTTTAACTTGTCTTGAACTCAAAATTGATATATACTACACAACACTGAGCGGCAGTTACCATTTCTTTGTGACCTCTCTGAGAAACTTGTGTCAGGGCAAGCGAGATAGTCTCAAGAACACTTTATAATTGTGTAATGGGTCGAAGAGGCATTTCAACACCTTCTCTTCCAGTCACGAAGTGGTTTATAACCATCCCAGGATTTTATTATCCTTCCCCCTACATTACTCTAAATTCCTCAAGCACAGGGAGGAGTTCATTTCCTTAAGGAAATGGAAAGTTTCTGACCAACTACCAGGATCCTGTCGGGTCCAGAAGACCGGCAAGCATGGAGCAGATGTGGAAAAAGGTTCTTTCACATGTATATTTAAGAAAATCTGGACTAATGTGTTAAAGAAAAGAGCAGGGTTGAATTGTAATGTTTTATCTCTCAATGTATACAGTTGGGTCCTTAAGTTTTTGACAGTTACATTTTTTCCTCTTCACATAAACAAAGGATTTAAAATAAAACAGAGTCTTGGCTCAGCCTTGTTTCAAGGCTTTTACACATTTTTTGTTTTGGAATCAGACGTTATTATACACGATCTCTATTTCTAGATACTCAAAATTAATTGGACAATTGACTGACAGACGGTTTCATGAGCAGGTGAGGGCTGTTAATTTGTTGTTTCATGACAAATTAGGCCAATAAAAGCTCTGGTAGCCTTCGTTTCAATTCTGAATATGATGCCCAAATAGATGTCAGTGCAAGTGAGGACATCATTAGACTGAAAAAACAAAGGAGCAGTTGAATCAACAATTTGGTTAATTCTTAAAAAGAATGAATGCACTGGCTGATTGAGCCAGAAAGGTGTGAACTGCAGAAGTAACCAAGTCAAGCACACTCGAGGAGATAGCTGATCACTTTTAAAGTTTACAATGAAGAGACATCATGATTGGAAATAGAACAACTTTACAACAAGGTTCAAATTACTGGTTACACTGAAGAAAGAGAAAGATTAGACTTTACCAGGGAAGCTGCACAGTTCTGAAAAACAATCTTAAATTGACTGATTGATTAACGTCAAATATCTATATCTGGTGAATAAAAAGAATCAGAATCTGCTTTGTACACATACATGGAATTAGGCTCCGTTTTTTTCTTTGCTTTCATTGCATGTAACAGACAATACTGACTACATGAAATCAGCATGACACAGACACAATGAGACAGACAAAAACAATTAAAGCATGTTTAAGATGCAATGGTGCAAAGATGTAATACATAGTGGAATAGATAAGGGATGGATAATAAGTTACTATATGCACAGTGTAAATACATGAGGACTGACTATATATATGTACAACAGAACAAAAACTGTATATACAGCTTTTTTTTTTTGTATTTTATATTGAATCACTGGAATCACCTAAGATGACCTCTGTGCAGACAATTTCTGAATTTTGTGGCATATAGCTAACAATTTTTTGTTTTTTGGCTGCTAAAAAAGAAAAAAGATATTTCAGAAACGTTAATATTAGATATTATAGTGAAACTTTCTGTTGCAGTATTTTAATGCCATCACCTTCTTAAAATGTCAGTAACCTGGCAGAAAAGCTGATCATTAAATCTTAAAAATGGAAGTCCAGTAGGAATGGCAGTTTTTTTTTAATGCTGTTATAAGTAATAATGTTTTTTTTACTTGGTTTGTCTAATTACATTTATAATGTTTTTCTTAAGAAACAGCGCCACCTCAACCCCAGCGATCAGCATGAGGTTGGACACTTTTCATTCACATTGTGTTCACACTGAAGGAAAAAAAAAACCCCACAGTGCATCAGCCCTAATTTTACAACCGGCATCCTTATCTCTCGATCCTCTTCCGAATTATGTCCAATAAATATACATGTGAGACTGATATAAAACTCCCAAATATCACTTCAATCGATCTGTCAATCAATCAATCTGTGCATGCAAAACATGTGAAGAAGAATGAAGAAAGAAGAATGCAACCCTTTGCACTCCATGAGTTAAAATACTATATCTTTATATATTTTTTAAATACATGTATGTATGCATGCATGCATGTATTTATTTATTTTGGCTGCTGTCCCATAGTATAAATGTGCAAAGCAACTGAATGGACGCTCATTACAAATTTATAACTCTTTGTCACAAACCCGTTTCCTAAACAGCTTGCTACAGTAAATGCAATTACATAACCACCCCGAGAGGTCCTGGACATAATTTTATAGTAAACAACTCATGGAGAGGATCACTCGCTCAAAAACAATCCAGTGAAAACCAAAAGGACTGTTTTAGGTTTTATGGTTATTTGCACATACACGCAACTGCGGTAAGCACTTTTATTATATTAGTCCATTTTTAATGGGTCTACCTAATTAAAAATGTCGCTTTCTTGTCTATAATTAAGTAAAAGTGTCATCAAGTTCAAAACAATAATACGAATAGTTCAAATATCCCTGGTATTAACCTTCAATCAATTATCAGTGAACCGATTACCTACTGAACGGTTGCTTCCCCCCTTAACATCTTCTCTAAAGTGCAAACTTGATAACAGGTTATAAGTCACGAAGAATAAAAGCAGCTAATCGTCATTTGCTAGGCTTATATTTCCAACTTGTCTGCGTACTTACTTCTCTACCATCTCTTCTCTCTTCGTCTCCTCATGGATGGATCTTTTTTGCTCTCCAATAAAGTGCGAGCACTGTTCCTCTACTGGACTCGCGTTTTGCCTCCGGTGCTCCCGACAAGAGACATGTCCGCTCTTCACATGGCTTCAGCGAACTGCGCTTCACATCAGCGTCACTGGAGATAACGCATCCAGGACGTCGCGTTCCTAGCAAAAGCAACGCTGAGACAGAGCGTAAAAGGAACACGGAGAACAGACCGCCTCCGCGAAATCCAGCCAGGTGTTTGCAGGCATTTCGTGCTTTTACGGAGGGAAGGTTTGGGCTGTCAGGGTCAGTAGACGCGCTTCATCAGTGTGACACTGCTGGATGCGCTGTGGCGCATTCCGGCTGCGCTCACAGTGACCGTGTGCGAGAGAGAGATGGAGAGAGAGAGAGAGAAACTTCCTCCTAAGGGAGATGTGGATTCCTTAAAACCTCCACTCCATTAAAAAAACCCTCTATATGTTCATATATTATAAAGGATCACCACTTTCTTCCTTCCAGCATCATCCAAATGTACAATTCAGCTTCAGAACCAGAAAGCAGACCTGTCTGACATCCACGTCTTGGTAGATGGTGAGCTGAAGAGCATATAGAATACTACAGAATACTCACCTTAAAAAGCATGAATTTTACCAAAATAGGCCATTTTAAATACCATTTTGGTGTTAAAAAATAAATAAATAAATAAATAAATAAATAATAATAATAATAATAATAATAATAATAATAATATTAATAATAATAATAATAATAAATAAATAAATAGAGCTGTCTTCTTACTGGACTAAACTGGCAACATCACAGTCAACGGGCCATATCTCACCTCCAGGAAAAAGCCAGGTTGCAGCTCCACGCTTTGAAGCCTGGCTTTAATTAAATTAATTTGAATTTGTGAGACTGTCTGTAAGGTTTATGTCCCCTGTGTTGCTTGTTATCTTTACCTTGGCATGCAGACGTGACCTCCACATGAAAACCAACACTGACAAGGATTCTCAGTAACTTGATGGTCAGTTGCTGATCAGCTCCTTTACCTGCCCTTGTGTGTGTGTTTGTGTGTGTGCAGATGAGACCACAGTATTGATTACATGCATGATCAGCTGCAGCTAATTGAATTGGAGTAGTTCTGTTTTTCTTTCATGCTTTGATACTGATGTACTGCTGGCATTAGATTGATTCATTAATCAGGAAGGCGTCTTTGAAAGAAAAACGTGATCCCTTTAACAGATATTTGATTTTCTCCTTTTTTTTTAAATGTTTATTTCATTTTCTAACCAATGCATAAATTATACAAGTCATAATGATATCATACATGATTGATTTCTCCTTTTTTTCTATTTTGTGCATTTTTTTGATGTTTTGTTGGGACAGTAGTTGAGGTTAAAGAGGACAAAATTTTCATTTAAAGAAGGGAAAACGCTAAATGAAAAGAATTGTAAACATGTAGTCTGTAACCGCACTTTAAAAATGCTTTAGATTGCTCTTAATAACCGCGTGTTCTTTCATAGATTTTCAACCATTTGCTCCATCCTTTCCTTTTCCATTATAATCTTTTTCTGGCCATCTGTTCATTTCTCCTTCTCTAAATTACTTTAATTCACTCAAGCATCCAATCTGCACTCACATGCTCAGAGAATCTGGGAGGGTTTTTTTTTTTAGGTCCTCCAGGACACGACTTCTAGGTAAGTCGTGGTTTCATTGTTTATGATGGATGCTGGTCACACTGTCAGGATCCAAGTAATCTGCGATTAATCATTTCAGAGCATTAATCGCAGAGGTACTGTACATGTGTGACACTTTCATTAATTTCTTCATTCATTCATCATTGAACAGAAGAAAAACCCATTCCTGGATAAAATATGAGAGACTTACATTGCGGCTTTTGTGTCTCACATGCAGTCATATCAGCAATGTGTACTGAAAGACTCAAGGGATTGCATTTACTCATCAAATATGAACTCCAGATTACCCAAAGAGAACTGCCATTGATTGTCTGAACCATAATAAATGAGAGACTATGAGTCAGTACAAATTATTTCTTAGTTGTCAACATGCTGTTGTGAGCTGGTATCAGTCAGAGGATGAATTTTTTGGTTCAGCTTGTGTCCTCAGCCAAGTCAGACATCAGTTCAACAAGCAGCAGAGCAGAATTTATTTGCACTCAAGTGAAATACATGCATATAATATAATGCTCGCTCTGCTGCTATAACACCCGCTGCAAAGTCTTTGAGCAGTTAATGCTGTAATGTTCTGTCAACAGAAACTACAAAACCACTGTAGGTTATGAGTGGCTGTAAATCTTTCTGACTTTGCTTTAAAGCTGTTTTACCCTCGGCTATAGTCATCTTTTTTGTTGCTCTAAGTGTAAAAGCAGCAAGCCTTTTTGACCATCTCACCACTGCTTAGTGTATAAAGCTGCTGAAACATAACATTTGTTTCTTCATGGTTTTGCCATTCTGATTATTTGCAAACCTGAAGAAATTTAAAGGTTACGTCCAAGTTAAATGAATGAGGTAAGAGACCATATGTAGTGATGTGCTTCAGCTTTATGTGACATTAACACACTTTATTAGGTACACCATTCAACTTATCATTAATACAAATGAGCCAATCGCATGTAGACTTGGTCAAGTTCAAACTCGGCATCAGAATGGAGAAGAAAGGTGATTTAAGTGACTTGAACGTGGGATGGTTGTTGATGCCAAATGAGTTTGTCTGAGTATTTCAGGATGCGCTGGGATTTTCCCACACAACAATCTCTAGGGTTTACAGAGGACAGCCCAAAAATGAGAAAATATCCAGTGAGCATCAGTTTTCTGTGCCTTGTTGATGCCAGAGGTCAGAGGAGAATGGGCAGACTGCTTCAAACTGATAGAAAGGCAACAGTTACTAGAAAAATCTCTCATTATAGAAAAGGTAGACGAACATTTCTGAAAGCAAAATATGTCCCACCTCGAAGCAGATTGGCTACAGAAGCAGAAGACCATGAATGCCACTCCTGTTAGGTAAGAACAGGAAACTGTTTCTGCAATTCACACAGGCTAATCAAAAATGAGTAACAGAAGATTGAAAAAATATCGCCTGGTCCAATAAATGTTGATTTCTGTCGCGACATTCTGATAATGCTCAGAATTTGCCACGAACAACATAAAAGCAGAGATCCATTCTGCCTTGCAGCAACAGCTCACGATCGATGGAAGTGCGGAGGATAGTTTCGTATCAGTATCTATAGTAGCAAAATCTCTGAGGTTTTCAGCACTTTGTTGAATTAAAGAATGCAAAAGGGGGACCAGCCCGGTACAAGCAAGGTATACCTAATAAAATGTCTGTGAGTGTTTACTACCAGTGTTGCCTAAGTTTTAAACTTTGCAGTAATGGTATTTAGTCAGGAAGATCATTTGGGAATTTGAAGTAGAGCTGTTTAGATATTTCTGGACACGAAGAGGGTTTTTTTTTTCATCTCATTATGAGTCCCCCCATGAAATATGAGCACATGGTTCCTAATTCATCGTAATTTGCAGACTGTTTCGCTCAAGCTGGACAGCACCTGTAACTGGAACATATGGCTTTTGTTACAGACAGCAATCAGGATAGTAATCCTATTATGGGTGACATTGTTGCACTAATGGGCCATATTACCACAGTAATTTCTCCTAATAGTGCAGCGAAATGATGCTGTTGTAGTAAGCCACTTGAGAGTTCACCCATGACCCGTTACAAAAGGTTCTTACGTAATAGTTGCTTACATAAAATTTCTGTTGATTAAAATTTAATCACAAAGGTTTAAAGATTTACATTTCAAATGTATTTTTTGCACATTGTATTTCTATTACCTATATTATAATGAACCCGATAGCATGTTTTGCATCTGGTAATTTGAGTGTACTGTGCATCAACATTATGGGGTGTATTATTGAGGGCATATTTTTCATATTTGGTAGAGATGCAAAAAGTGTATCTTAGGAACAGATGGTTGAGGATCTGTTTCTAAATGCTTCAACTCTCGCTGTTATTCCCACATGCTTAGAGATGCAAGGACATGCAGAAATATTGCCTTGGTCAAAAATGTGACTGCAGTAATGTTAAAAAAAAAGCTCTGGAAACAGATAATTAGCAACATCAGCAAACAGAAATGCTTATACTTTCATGTGATTAAATCTGTATAATATAGTCTTCACTGCAAACTTGCATTGTAAAAGCTCAGAGGGTTTAGTGCTGAACAAATGAACTGCATCTGTGCCCCCAATCCTGCTGAATACACACCTGAATCTTTTCTAATGAGGTTGCAGTTTCTAAATCCTGCAGAGAGCTATCAGCAGTTTTTAGGAGCACAAGCCTTTTGAATTAAAAAACAAGAAAGATCAGATTTAGATCGATCTTCAATTTTCTGATCTTCATTATTTTACAAAATATATTCAACAATGTCAGTATCCACAGAAATGGTCACTTTGTATTAATAAAATACTGATGTTTCTGTTAGGTAGGTTTAATGAAAAGCCCAACACAAACAAGTTCTGAAAGTAAACTGAATCTATTGAAAAAAAAAGTCATTAAAAAAGAATTACTATGAAGACAGCACACATTTTAGAAAGTCTGTTTGAAACAACTTATAAAAAGGAGAATTATACATCTTGCATGGGACAATGCTTTAACAGCCTTGCTCTCTGGGATTCAGTGAAGTCCAGTTAATTGCAGCCTTTTTGCACATTGTTTTTGTATCAGTTACTCTCACTGTGTTCAGGGGATAGCCAATAATGCATAGTTTGACACACGGTTAGCATTTGTGTGGAAACAATCTTTATAACCGATGTTGCTCTCAAGCGTCTGTCTAATTAACCCTGTGCTTCATGTTCATTGTAGGGTCGAGTTGTTCTAGTCACTGGTTCTTGATGGATAATTAAGCTCAAAAGGAAAAAGGCTGCATTATCCGTCGACTAGAGTCTTTCATTTCCTGCTCAGTCAACTGAGCCCTGCAAAAATCAATCACCATGAACAACTGAGCGAAATGAACTTGTCCAAAAGCGCCTGCTCACTCAAAACACCTGCAGGTGCACACAGATGCATGCACATAATACGCCCATATTAGGAGAAATACTTATTTGACCCCCTGCTGAATTTATTTGTTTATTCACTTACAAAGAAATAAAGTCTCTAATTTTCATTGTGGTTTAATTTTAATGTAGAGAGACAGGATATCAAACAAAAACCAAGAATCAACAATCGATTAATCAATTACAGATACTCCTGAAAAGCAGACCCTCCTGTTAAAAGGGAGTTTTTCCTTCCCACTGTCACCAAAGTCCTTCCTCAGGGGGGTTGTTTAATTGTTTGGTTTTCTCTGT